AAAGTTATCTTTTAACCACCTGCTCAAGTCACATACAAGTTCATAAATAATGGCATGTTTTTTCTTCCTCAGCCCAATGGAGCATTCATTTCTCTTTCCAGGTCAGTAAGACTATTCACATCTCTCCCAACATTTTATTAGGAATATTTTTAAACATAAAGCATAGCTGAAAAAATTTTATAGAGAATACCTGTAACCTGCCCGTTAGGTCCTGCTATTAATCAGTTCAGTTCAGTCGCTCTGTCCTGTCTGACTCTTTTCGACCCCATGAACCGCAGCATGCCAGGCCTCCCTGTCCATCACCAACTCCCGGAGACCACCCAAACCCATGTCCATTGAGTCAGTGATACCATCCAGCCATCTCATCCTCTGTCGTCCCCTTCTCCTCCTGTCCCCAATCCCTCCCAGCATCAGGGTCTCTTCCAATGAGTCAACTCTTCACATGAGGTGACCAAAGTATTGGAGTTTCAACTTCAGCATCAGTCCTTCCAATGAACACCTAGGACTGATCTCCTTTAGGATGGACTGGTTAGTTTACTGTATTTGCTTTGTGATAAATCTATGTATCTATCTATCCATCAACTCGTCTTATTTTTGGTGCAGTTCAGTTCAGTTCAGTCGCTCAGTCATGTCCGACTCTGCGACCCCATGAACCGCAGCACGCCAGGCCTCCCTGTCCATCCCCAACTCCCGGAGTCCACCCAAATCCATGTTCATTGAGTTGGTGATGCCATCCAACCATCTCATCCTCTGTCGTCCCCAATCAGAGTAAATCGCAAACATTACTACTCTTCTGCAATGAATAAAACCATTGTTTTTTAACTTGTGTTCTCTGAATTTTAACCTGACTGGGCTGAGTCAGCCCACCTCGGTAGACTTAAGATCAAAGGGAAGCATCTAACTCTCTCCGTGGGTGGCTTATCTTCCCAGTCCCTCATAGCCGAGTACTGACTCTTTAGTTACAGTAGTGCCTCATCTGTGCACCTGAACTCCTAGAAAGTAGAAAAGGGAATTTTTACAAATCCAATTATCTCCCATAAACTCTCGTATTTGAGATGGAAAAGATTCCTGGTGGAAGAGTGAAAAAAGTCCCTAAGATAAATAAGGAATATAACCTGCGTCTACATACCTAGATTACCATTCTTGCAGCAAAACTGCACCTTTAGTAACATAAGGGCCACAGAGAATACAGGTGGTCTCTGCTTTTGGATATGAAATATTCCCAGAAAGACCATCACCCCTGTCCCAAACTGTGGGATCTAGAGGCAGAAACTGCAGTGAGGGAAGCTGGTGAGGAGTGAGGTCAAGTTTTTTAGCTGGCAAATGGATATTATCAAAACCAGAGGTTGCCTTACTAAGGTTCACAAAGCAACCATTGACTGTGTGTTTTTCACTGTGTGTAGTATTCAAGCTTAAGGAACATGATCTGCCGTTGTAATAACAAGTCTGGGTACAATGGTATTCTATTAAGATTTGTTTTGCCTCCATTTTCATATCTATTGTTTTATTTATGTTTAAGTTTTAATTGATGTTTTGACCATGTGTTTGCCCTGAGGAGATTTTGTGAAGGCTTCCATTTTGAAACACATTTTAAAAATAATATATTTAATATACAGTAAGCAAAAATATTCTTGTGTATGTACCCAGAAGTAAAATCTTACTGGTGCACTAAAACTTCATTTTAAACGTCTATCCATTAGTATGAAAAACAAACCAAAGACATGAGCTTAAAGACTTGAGAGAAAGAACCTCAGATTGGGGAGAGCCAATAGAAGGAACTAATTCTCAGATCCAAGTGTTGCCGAACAGAGAGGAAGGAGGGAGAAGATTGAAGCAAATGTGAACTGGGCAATGTTGCATCAGCTCAGGACTAAAAACAGCACATGGAGGAAAAAGCCTCTCAATGACCAGTCTGAGAAGGTGGAGGCTGACATATTTATATTGGTCAACTCTACCTAAGAGCTGATGTCATAAGGAAATGAAATAGAGGAAGGAGGCAGAGAACTTACTTTAAAATGGTATTGTCTGATTTTTTAAAAGTCTTGGCTCTCTAAGTTTCTTTCTCTGAAAACAATTAAGTGCTCTTGGACCTCCAAGAATCTTGGAGATAGGAGTCTGGCTATCCTAGCCTTCCAAAGGAAGGAGATTTGTTGCCTCCGTGGGTTATCTGAGTGATGGAGACTTGTGTCTTTCTCAGTAGTCAGGCAAATGTATCCTGTTTTAATTTGAGCCTCAGACACAGAGAAGCAATTTACAGCAGCTACTTCTCTACTGCTATGAAGTTAGTAAAAATAAGTGCTCATTACCTTCCATGTTGCCATTCATATAACCTTATAGGAATTCACTACAGGCTGGCAAATTTGAGCACTTATCTGCAAGGCTACTTTGCAACCACGGAATCTGAAGTGCAATTATTATATAAATAATTAAATCAGTCTTTCACGCTTATAGTTCTGTCTCCAAGATGTTCAGATGGAAGTAGGTATCACTCAAAGGATAGGAGGAAAGGTGTAACTTAGTAGAAGAAGATGAAAAAAAAGAACAACACTTGACTTTTAACCAATGCTCTTGGAATGAGGTATTTAAAGAAAAATCAACCAAAATGATGGCTCAGTTGACGAGGAAAGATAGCTTCCTCCCATCCCCTCTGTTTACGCATACTATTGTTTCAGCAACCATGATGTTTTGTTTACTTTGGAAGGAAATATTTTACCCCCTCTGAGATAATTAATTTTTGTCAGCTTCACTGTTTATAAGGGAAACTGAGAAACTGTTAATTGAAATACAGAATGAGTCACTGTTTTCAGTAATTTTTGGCAGCATTCTAATTTGTGTCAATCCCAGCCTAATTATTAGATTTTTTGGAAGCAGAAAGCATATTTGATTTTTCTCTTACTAAATTCTTCTCCTGTTTTTCAAAAATATGTGCTGCCTGACAAAGGTTATGTAATTTATGTCAGTGTGAGGTGAAATGCCAGTACCTCTGGAATACCAGGAGGTTTATGGCGTCACGCCTGACTCTTCACAGCAGTTCAATATTTAGAAAGCTCACAGAATACAATCTTCCTCTTTTCCTCATTCCTACCCCCCAGCCCTGACCAAACAATGTGATTCTTTTAAAGACCTTTCAGTTGGTATTAAGCCACAGTATATGGCCCATCACTAATGACATCACTGAAGCAAACTTCCCAGAAACCATCATGGAGAACTCATTTGGAAATCCAATTGAATGTCAGTTGCAAAGGGCAGGCTCCTAGAAGAGGCAACCACTCATGCATTCCTGAGTTATTTGTCGCAAAAGCATTAATCACTGTGAACTCATTTGCTCCCGATGCAAACGCACTGCACTGCAGCACATGCATTCTGTTCCAAGCGATCATTAACGTAGAGAACAGAAGCTTCTGACTGTGGGCAGGGATAATAAACTCTGTCAGATCAGTGGCCAGCATAATGGGACTGCTAATGGTTCCTAATAGAAGTAGGACCTTCCTGACGGAGTGAAGGCGGGGCGGAGAGGCAGGCAGCCCCATCTCTGGCCTGCTGGAGGGTGAAAGGGGCATCAGTGTCGGTCGCAGAGTATTGCGAGGGCTCTGAGGTGGCCATCGCCGGGAGCGTGGGCACCAGCTATGGGTCGGGGAGGGACCCGTGGAGATGCAACCACACTCGAGCCGATCGCCGGCCACAGGCAAGGTTGCCGTCGGACATCTGGCACTGTGGACATCCCAGAACCTTGAACTCACCCCACTCCACACTGGGTCACCATCGACAGGGGTGATGACAATCACAGGGACAATAGCACAGCCGGGCACCGGAGCATGTGATGCGGCTCTGTGACATTCCTAAGCCCTGGCCACTGCTGTGATTAAGGTGCTGACACGGCCGTTTCAGGGCTCAGCCATGGGGCTCGGATAGAGCTGGCAGATGCATCTATCCATGCAAGAGGCTTCCAAGAGCTGAGGAAACTGGGGAGCAGGAATGGAAGAGGGGTGATCGCTCTAAACGTAAAAAGTGTATAACATTAACACTGCGAGATGTTTGCCAATAAGCACGGAGTACCACAGAGGAACTGAAGAAACATGTTTAATACATGAAAGGACGTTGCCAATAGACTCCAGTCACCTTTCCCAGGTCAGTTCCCAGAAGCCAGAGTGGAGTGGGACACGGCAGTCTTTGTGCCAGAAAACACCACTCATCCTGGATTATGTCTTTAGTAAAACCCAGTGTTCAAGAGTTTGAAAGATGTGAGAAAACAGATGGTTATAAAGGAGGTGAAGCAGGGAAGGCGCGGGGAGAGGACAGAGCTTTCAGAGGAGCCTCTCCCCGCCCCCAGCCCAGCACCTGGCACCGTCAGCAGGACCGTCCCACGGAGCCCGGCGCCCCGCGGCGGGCAGAGACGGGCTGATGGCCTCTCGGCCTCTCCCGACAGAGCCGACGAACGCGCCGAGAGTGCTAGACTCCACGGCACAGGGTGTCAATGCAGCAGGGAGAGAAACCAGCAAGAGGGAAATTCAGAGACAGAGGCATGGAAGACGGCGCTGGCTGTGAACAGCGTGGACGAGATGAACCTGGTTGGGGGGCGGGGGGACACGCTCCACACAGACCGTCAAGGCATAAACAGGAGTGTGAAGGGGAAGCAGACACGCTGAGTGCAAAGAGGGAAGGAAACAGCCTGGGTCCGTGACGGATTGTTGCATATGTCCGTGTGTGTGTGTGTGTGTGTGTGTGTTAGGATAGCGGAGCAGCAGGCGATACGCAAGACCACAAGGGTGGTCGCATGTTACAAAGAGCCTTGGTAGCCAGACAGAGAGTCCGGATCAGTGTGGTGGGCAGTAGAGACCCGCTGTAAGCCTTGGCCTCTAAGGAGCAGAGCCGAGCCAAGTTCTGGAAAGTTTCATCTGGTGTCTGTGTAGGAGGGGAGGCTGCAGGGGAAGAGAGAACTGGGGGCGCTGGGGGCAGCCGGGGCGCCCTCACTTGACAAGCTCTCATCCTTTCTCCTGCAGCACACGTTCATCCTTCCGTTCTCGCTAGTCGAGGTCATCCTCAGACCACACTGCTACCCACTGAGGAAGAGAGGACTCACCCTGCTGGCCGCTGCTTGCCTCGCCTATGTCAGCAGGTAAGACTGGCAGAGAGAAAAATCAACTTGGACTGGTCATTCCAGACTCTGAGGAATATTCCAGAAGCAGCACACTGTTCTATAAGCGTGCCTTTATCTTGAGACAGCAGGGATTTCTCCATCTTTTAATTTGCAGGAAAAAAAGAAACGAATCTTATTGTTTGCTTTTGCTGCTCAGGGAAACATCACACGCGCAAGAATATGCAGGTATGTGTGCATGCGCACACGGCAGGTCTCGAGCTCTCCCACCCCCTCATGAAGAGTTCATCATTGTAAAGCTATGCATGTTACTTTCCCTAGGAAAACATTGATCTTTGGTTCCATCTGTAATTAAAGTGTTTGAATGGCTGAATGATCTAGGGCATCTAAACACAATCCATCTAAAAAGTCATTTGACAGGTTGAGCAGCCAAGGTGTGGTTCATCCCTCTTGCCTGGATCACCATGGGCTTATTTGCATCAACATCTGGCACTCGAGCACCAAGAGGGCATTTGGGCAACTGCCCAGGGGCTTGCAGAACAGCCTAGCTGGAGGCCTGGGAGATAATTTAAGTAGTTGGCCTAGATTTCATCATTCAACACCTGGCGACATGAATTCTCAGACGTTTTGCCCAATGTCTGTAATCAAGGGAAAGTGCTTGGCCACACTGGGGATGCCCCTTTCCATTGCACAGCCTTCTCACCCATGGCCAAGCTCTGGCTCTACTGGGAGGGGTGTGCCAAGCAAAATACCTGCAGACTGGATGTAAATCTTGGTGTTCCTACTGTAGCCTCGTCTCACCTAAGCTTCTCACATCTGCCAATCTGGCTAACTCCCCGACCCCCACTGGGGGAAAGCTTCACCCAGGGCAGTGCTCCAGTAGAGACAGAAGCCTGGAAGAGGACACAGTCCACAGGACTTGGGCTCCAGCAGCACCTGCTTCCCCAGCCTTTGTCTCAGTGCCCAGAACGCAGGTGCTGGTTCCTCGCTAGCCTTCCCCTCCCTTTTGCAAGACAGCTCCCTCCCATACTTCTGCAGCCGTCATTCTCTGAGGGCAACGTCCTTCAGCTTTCTCCTGTCCCTAAGAAATCACTCGCTCAATAAATCCACCCCAGCTCTCCACTGACCGACACTGTTCACCAACCCGGGCCCCTGCCTTCTCACAAAGGACAGTTTGAGAGGGTAAGGCATAAATTTGGGACCTGCTGGTAGCTGAGATCTGGAGCACAGTGTCAAGGAGGATTCTGGGACCCTAACTGGATCCATAGATGCAGACCCAGGTTCAATCCCTGAGTCTGAAAGATCCCCTGGAGAAGGGAATGGCAACCCACTTGTGCTATCATCTAGCAATATCTGCCAATAGTATGTGACTGGAGAGTGGTGGGACATGTGCTATGTATTTTCCAAGTCTGGCTTAACTAAAGAAAGAAAGCCGTGGTACATATACACAATGGAATATTACTCAGCCATTAAAAAGAATACATTTGAATCAGTTCTAATGAGATGGATGAAACTGGAGCCCATTATACAGAGTGAAGTAAGCCAGAAAGATAAACACCAATACAGTATACTAACGTATATATATGGAATTTAAAAAGATGGTAACGATAACCATATGCAGGACAGAAAAAGAGACAGATGTATAGAACAGACTTTTGGACTCTGTGGGAGAAGGCGAGGGTGGGATGATCTGAGAGAATAGCATCGAAACACGTATGTTATCAAGTGTGAAACAGATCAGCAGCCCAGGTTGGATGCATGAGACAAGTGCTCAGGGCTGGTGCACTGGGAAGACCCAGAGGGATGGGGTGGGGAGGGAGGTGGGAGGGGGGATCGGGATGGGGAACACATGTAAATCCATGGCTGATTCATGTCAATGTATGGCAAAAACCACTACAATATTGTAAAGTAATTAGCCTCCAACTAATAAAAATAAATGAAAAAAAAAAAAGTAATCCCTAACTACAGAATATCTAGGACCTGGGGTCGGGTAAGCATATGCATAAAAGATACATTTTTTTCTCTTGTGTGTGTTGAGAAGAAGCAGGATGGTAGCTGATTGATTAAGCACATGAATTTCCATACTGGTTTTTCTTTTTTTTTTGGTGGACTTTCAGCTGATTTTATTCTTTCTTGCCAAGGGTAACTTTTAGACTTTGTATATAAGATAGCATTTTTGGTCTATTAATTTTTTTCTGCCTAAGGACTTGGGAGTCGATCATCAATCCTCATATCTACCCTCACTCTTTCTCCTCAGAAACCAAGGAGGTAAAAGAGCACCTAAGCCTATTTGGAGAAAACAGTGATGCCCGTAAAGATGAAACGCAGTGGTCAAGAGGGTTTGGCTCATAGCTGCCCGAGCATGTACTCTGACAATGCAGGGAACATGGGTGTTGGAGAAAGGAGGTGTAACAAGAAGGCACTTAGCCCTCATTGCCAGGCATTGAGCAAAGGCATGAGGACACAGAGATGTACAAGATACAAGGCTGCCTTCAGGGACTGCCTGAGACAGAGGAAAGAAAAGAGACGATGGTCAGACAGGGTAATGAGACCCTAATAGCACAGGGTGCTGCGGAATGTCAAGGACTGGCTTCTCAAGGGAGGCGGTGTCTAAGCTGAGGCTCAAAGAATAAGTAGAAGTCAACAGAGATGTGGAAAGGAGCTTCAGGCAGAAGGAATAGCATACCTGAAAGGCTGGAGGAGCTGAGGGCATGGCTGAACTGGGAGACAGGGAGGAATTGGAGCAAGAATTCACATCGGTGAGATCAGACTTCTAAACTGAGGGGGTTTTCTCTGTGAAGTTTCCGCAGACAGGTGAAATAATGTGGCTTGTGGAAGAAAGATGACTAGAAAGATGATTCTGGCTGAAAAGTGTGGACATTAAAGAGGAACAAGACAGGGAAGCCAGTTTGTGGCATTTGCAGTACCTCAAGAGAGTTGATATTGGCTTGCAGATGGCAATATCAATCAATCTGCAAACAGAATCGGAGACGGTGGGTGGTGGAAGGCTCAGTGGGTTAAATGACGTGGCCAAGGTCACATGGCGAGGAAAAATCAAAGCCGAGACTTAAATCAAGGACTTTCAGATCCAGGTCTCTTTTCAGTGTATTCAGATGGCTAGGTATTTGTTCACTCCCTGTTTGGGGCTTCCTTGGTGGTTCAGATGGTAAAGAATTTGCCTGCAACGTTTGATCGACACCCAGGTTCGATCCCTGAGTCTTGAAGATTCCCCTGGAGAAGGGAATGGCAACCGACTCCAGAATTCTTGCCTGGAGAATCCCATGGACAGAGGAACCTGGACTAACATTGTTTGTGAAAAACATACACTACTAAATGCTGGAGGGTTGAGAATGCAAACAATCTTATCATCATCTCTAGCATCTAAAAGCTTGCATGAAGTCATTCTCAGGTCTGTGCTCAAACTGTCCGTTACAGCGAAATAATGGAGCAAATGATGGGAAGGGACGGAGCCCTATTACCAGCAGGAATGTAGGCGGGTGGACCCTGACAGGGAGCTGAAGTGATTTGGGATTTGGTTTTTCTTATCATTAATGAGGGGCTTCCCAGGTGGCTTATTGGTAAGCAATCTGCCTGCCAATGCAGGAGAGGCGGGTTCGACCCCTAGGTCGGGAAGATCCGCTGGAGAAGGAAATGGCAACCTGCTCCAGTATTCTTGCTGGGGAAATCCCATGGACAGAGGAGCCTGGTGGGCTACAGTCCATGAGGTCATGAAAGAGTCAGACACAATTTAGTGATGAAACAACAACAACAACGAATCGTTAAGGAAGTCCAAAATCAGCATTCTGGACAGGAGGCCTCATTTTTGCTGGAATGGAGCAAAGATACCTGTGTGTAGGCTTTCTACGCTGCCCTCCTGTTTGACAGCACCCCCACTCTGGCTGTTCCCTCATCAGGGGAGTTCAGACTCATTGCTGCCAGCTGCCTCCACCCTTATGTAACACTCTGGGGGCACACGGGCCTTTGCAGCCACAGATGGCCATCAACAAGTCCCACAGACTATGGATATCCATGGAGATATTTTAGGGTCATCTGTCAGGCGTGTCTGTTTGGATGCTCAAATAGGGAAACTGCATAGCAGGAATGAGGTAAAGAATATGGTCCCCAGCCAGAGAGAGCGTGGGAAACCAACATGAGTTGAAAAAATGGCAACAACCCTGACCCGGGGAAGCATTTCTCTGCTGAAACCATGTTACAATGACTTAAAAATAGCCCCCCGAGACCATGGAGACGGCCTCCTATGTGGCACTTGCTTTTTTGTTATTTTTCAGATTGCAAAATTGGAGGGCTGGCCCGAAGAGGGAAAATAAAGCTTCGCAAAGTAGTAATAACTAAATCCTTCATTTCCTTTGGAAAGCGTTAGTCATCAATAAATATGGTAGCTCACTCACTCCTCCCTTCTTTCTCACCCCGGAACACATCACCTAGCTCTCTCTGAGGCCATGCTGAAGAGCAGGAAAACAGAAGTGTTCCTACTGCTGGCTTTTATTCACTCTTTTATTGAACAAATATTTCCCCTAACACAGGACTGGTCCTGCTGGGAAAAGCAAAGTTATATAAGGCCAAGCCCCAGCCTGGAGAGGGTTTGTACTTAATAAGTGGAGATGAGCCATGCATACAAATTGTAAGAACACAAGATGGGAAGTGATAAAATGTCATAACAAGTACAAGCAGCCAACAGGAACACAAGGAGGAAGCGGTTACGTCTGGCTGGGCCGTGTGGGAAGGACTTCATCAAAGGTGTCATTGGATCTGGGCCCTCAAGGACTGGCTGGGTTGAAGCACCAAAAAAAAAAAAAAAAAATAGGAGAAACTGAACAACACAGCACAATCGCAAAGCCAAGAGGACACAGATCATGTTAAAGCAATGGTTTCACTTTAGCCAGACCTACTAGTGAAAGAAACTAACAGGAAATGACCCTGAAACTGCCCGCTCACAGTCTTGCAGATGGCAGGCTGGAGGGGGTTGGACATGGTATAGACTATATGAGACGTGGCTGTTG